TGGAAGATATTTCATATTTTCTCAATGCTTCTTGACCCATGAAATATGGTCTGTCGGTTCATTTGTGCACCACTTCAAGCGCAGTTGTCGGACTGGTAATGCCACGACTAATAAAAGTTAATTTACATGAAATTGAGATCACCTAGTTTCATCGTTTCCGTCGTTCCTCTCGGAACTCGATGTAACGATCAACGCGAATCTGTTCTGTTCAAGTGGGCTGTGAGTTTGATAATGGCCATTAGTGATGGTCGACAGGACTAACAGCGGCCAATTGGCGAAGTACTACTCGTACTTATTTCGGCTGAGTTAAACAGTTTGCAAACCGAATCGAAAGCGATTCATAATTTGTGACTATTAGCGGTACTGTTTGCCTGTCCGGCGAACAACTTTCGGCTGGATTTAGCAACTTTCCGCAACGACGGGTGGCCTGGGAAAGCAACATCACGTTTAAAATCTCAAGCCGAGTCGATCCGTCGCTGTACCAACAGAGTAACCGATTGTAGTGCCATCCATCGGGACAGTTCCATGTCGCAGCAACAATAATCTGTGCCTTGTTCGTCGCCCTGAGCCATCATGGAGCTTCGATATGCGTAGGGTTCATTAACCGTACCGGCATTCGCTCTGAGAGGGTGGTGAGTCTGAGGAATCAACATAAAATCGACATGGCGAGGTAAGGCATGGCGCGGTGTACTTCAAACAACTGTTCTGCTCAGGAGAAGGGCGCCACGAATGTGATTTGAGACTATCGTCTGTATTAGTTTAAAGGAATGGCACTGCGAGCTATTTTCGTTATGCCGTTTGACCTCTGTGTGAAAGATGAAGAGTTTTGTTGGAAGGACATTGATTCTTGCTTTTCTCCTTATTGTCATATGCGAATGATCGATTACTTAAGATTTTGGTGTACATCCAACATTGCGACCAAACAACACCGCCAGTCGTCTGCTTTTCTTGGGATGACACCTTGTGTTGTTGATTGTGAAAATGAAGATCAGTCGTTGGGCGTCTGTCCGTCCTATTGCCACAGAATCTCTGCTGTTCATATGGGGAGACGCCGTGGGCGGCAAAATAACGTTGAGGTAGTGTATATGACCATAAATGTGTGCTCTCTTCCAGTGTCCAATTGCTATATGCCATCGGAAAGCAAAAATCGAAATTAATATTCGTTGATTTGCAGCTAATCATTCAGATTTTTTTTCAGACATTGACAAAAGGCATCGTAGGCTTTGTTTCGGTCAGGTTACTCGGCTTAAGACAGAAGAAATTATATGATTACTCCCTGCAGTCGCTTTCAACCTGTACATATGACTTTCATAACTAGGGCTGTCGTGGCAGCTGACATCGTAACGGAGAAAAGCGGCTCATCGAAGGCCGCCGCGATATAAAGGCCTACAAATGATATTCCTTTTCAGAAGTTCAAGAAAAACCAACATTTCCTTTTTCCTCCATGTACATGGAAGATGCATCAAATACCGCATAAGTCCGCCAAAACCGGATATCAAGGTGCATTGTCCACCCTCCCCCCTTTGTTTACGCGGTACCATATGGGAGTAATTCCGCCGTTGTCGGTCCCAAGATTAAATGAGAAAGGAGGTCGGTGAATTAAAATACCACAATCGTAGATTCTACCTGCTCGATCTTCAACCGGGTTACCGAGGATCGCACAGGCCGTTGGGGGGGGGCGGAGGGACTGTCAAGTTCCACACGAACGATTCCTGAAGTGGGACCTCACAGACGAAAATTGGTGTATCTCTTCACTCAGATGGATAGAGCAGGAGCTAGTTGATGAGGTATCTCCGGGTTTCAACAAAGTTGAACTCTCTTCACGGAAGCACCAACGCTTTGGAATTCAGAACCTCTGCCGTTGGAGGCAGTTCTACTAGATGTCGACTTCCTGCCCCACGCTCAGCTCTGTCTTCGTGTTCTGCTAGAATCCAACCTGCCTGACAGAATTATTGATTGAAAGTCTGTCAGCGGAAGAGGG